TGCTGAATGTCACCAAGCCACTGCTTCTGCGGCCCTGGAGAAATACTTCCCCAGCCCTCATGGCCCCCCGAGCAAGATGAGGCAAAACGATTTCTGGATCCACTGCTATCGAGGGAAGGGTTTTTTTCGTGAGCTGTGACATTTCTGTGAACCCAGAGGATGTGATAATAGGTTAAATGCTGCAGCCACGTTTGGCACCGCACAGTGATGGCTCATACTTTTCTTTTGGGAGCCTCTAGCAGCATCACCCTGAGAGTGACGCTTGGTTTGTTCCCCAGGACTGCAGCGTCAGAGCTGGCTCTGTTCTGGCTGGCAGTCCCTGCGGAGGTGTCAGCTGGGGTCAGGCAGCTCCTGTGCTCCCGACTTAAAAAATACCCTCACCAAAGCCGTATACAAAAGCACGTAGTCAAGTTTTTATGACATGCGCATTTGTTTAAAAGCAGTTAGGAGAGAGCAAGAAGAAGTTGTGAGCTGTTGTAAGCAGAAGCAAAGAATTAGCAGCACTGTTGTACGTGACTCAGGAATCATGCGGTGGTAAAGACAACAGAGTCTTCAGTCATTTCAGGCAGTCATTAAAAGGAGACCCTCTTCAGACTCCTGGAAAGCAGGTCCTGCCTCTGACAAGGCCAAATTAAAGGCAGACCTTTCTCCCTTAGCACAATACAGCTGTGTGGCTCAGCTCTACAGCGTAATAGAATTGTAATTGAGAGCAGACAGATTCTTGGTCTCAGATGCTGCACACGAGTTCCTAAAAGCCCTTTCTTTGTAATGGAAAGTCAAAGCAATGATTTTTAAGATGTGTGTTCCCCACCTGCCAACTGCAAAATGGCAGATGGCCGTGGATGCGACCTCACAGCCAAACAGCAAATGAGGAGTCAGGCCGCACTAAGATTTTCCAGAAAACAGCTATTATAGGTTTGTCTTTGGTGCCAAGAGACAGTAGAGAAATGGGCTTTAATAAATTGCCTAAATATGCATTTATCTTGAAGATATAGCCACTTTGATCCTCTGAGCATACCAGCGTCAGAGAGACTTTAACAGCTCCAAGCAAGCATTGCAATAGCTTGGATAAATAATCTGAATTTTATTAGTTTCCAAGAATGATTTCTGAGGGAGTTAGTGCCCTGGGAAATGCTGGAAGCTGATATTGTTGTGTGAACTCCATGTGTAGAATTTCTTTCTCTTTCTTTTTTTTCCCTGGCAGGCTGGAGGGCAGCAGAAAGCAGGATAAAGCTGGGACTGCTGGGGACTGGTCATCTTAAATTGCATTGCTTCACCCAGTGTGTATTTTAGGTTATACCAAGGATGTAAGGGTAAACATCTTTCTTTTTTTTTTAGCATTTCAGTACATCTAAATATACCAGTGAGCAGTATTTAGAGGCAGGCTGCTATGAGCCAGAGAACTGAAAGGCAGAGCTAACGCAGTACTCCTGATTCCCAGCTCCCGGTTTTTGACTGTGACACAGCAACAGAAATGAAAGTTTGTTATTTTACAACCAAAGGAGCAGAAGCCAGGAGAATTTCACCCCACTTCTGACCTCTGGTTTGGCCCGAGACCAAAAGGGGAATCCTGGAGCAACAGAAGGAATCACTGTCTGCGATAAATCATCTGACTAATTCACATTTATCATCTCATAAATGCGAAGACCTGTAAGTCGCAGGAGCCCACAGCAGCACAGCTCTGAGAAAGCATCTTCCTTCGTGGGAGGGCTCCATTCTTTTCTTTTTTTTCGCACTTAAAAAGCTCAGTTCCAGATATCCAGGCACTACCCCAGGCACCTGGCCCATGGTTAAACATGGCAAAACCAACACGATAAAAGGCTCCACAGCTCCCTCCGCTCCTTCCCCAGCCAGCCAAAGGGGGAAGGTGGCCCTGTGCTTCCCGGCTGCTGTGAACTGCGGTGGGGCGCTGGAGGCTGCAGGATGCTCTGTGTATAAGTGAGAAAGGGGAGCAATCTCCTCCGCATGCGAGCCCTGCTGCGTGCTGTGCTCCCCCCACAACAGGAGAATAGGCCCAGCCGTGCCGGAGCGCAGCCCCAAACCCCAGCCGGACAGCCCTCGCTGCACCAGAGGTACCGTGGGGCGGGTGTTCGGGATACGAGTTTCCTCTGAAGGTAAAAGACCTTTATGAGAACAAAAGTGAGGTTTTTGCAGATGCAGCTCATCTGTTGCTGAGCCGTTTCTCCCGCAGGTGCTCTGGGCTGATCAGGAGCTCCGGCCAGGACAGTTGCTTTGTCCAGCAAAATAAAGACGCACGATGCATCGCTGCCCTGCCCTGCCTCTGGTCTGCATGAATTTGTAAAAAGCACAGATTCATTTGTCAGAGGAGATCAATAGTTTATTAACTTAAAGGTCAGTTCACCAAAGCTCCATCTTTCCTTGGGTCTGGTCCAGGCAGGTGAGGACCGGTGATGGCGTGGCTCTCCCCTCTTCACCTGGCTGAGGTAAGCTCTAGTGGGCAAGCCCGGGCAGGGTGCGTGTCGTTGCAACCGAAACCAAGCAGGGATTATCCCAGCTCCGTGAGGAACTGGAGACAATTCGTACTGTGAATTTCATTGGCAAAAGGTTTAACTCATTAAAACTATTAACAATGAAAATCAGAACAGGCAGCGTAGGAAAGAGTGTTTACATACGTCTGGTGCAAAGAGCAGCTCTGCAAGGTCAGAGAGGAGAAAAGGAGAAGGATGTAAGACACAAAAAGATTCCCCACTCCCATATAAAAAATAGTCTACAGAGAAAAAACAAGGATTGTATAAGTTATTTTTTAAAAATCTGTAAAACAACATAGCCAAGGATATTTTAAACACAATTATATAAACACCACATGACTTACTATTAAGAGAGAGCATGAAAAGGTTTGTTTCGGGGAAGGGTTCTGTAGAATTAAGAGTTTTCTGGCCGGATCCCTGGAATGTCTCTTTTGGAAACAGATGCCCAAGAAAAATCACTGCCATGAACAGGAGGATTTTGTGAGAGAGAGGGGTATACCCAGCAACACAGGGAAAGGATTGGAACACAAAATGCCAGAAGAGATTAATTGGGACACCATCTCACTTAGAGGAAGGATCTAGCTCATTCCAGAACTGAATTAATCAGCAACTTACTAGCAGTTCCAGGAGGCAAATACATTTCGTGGTAAGGCTGTGACCCCACAGGCTGGTCCGTGCGGACAAACCCCCCGAGTCCACAAGCCTCCCTGTAGGCACACAGGTTTTGCCTGCCTGCAGTTACCTGCGGAGCAAAGCCCTGCCGGACTCGCTGGGCTGTCACCCCTGCAGAGCCACGTGGATCAGCTCTCGCTTTGGTCCTCAAATCTCCAGTTATTGCCACGGCCAGAGAGAAACAGCTACCAACCAAATCCGAACAGGAGTGCCAGAACAGGCTTTAGGGCACTGCTCCGGCAACCTCCTAATTCATCGTTTTACATATGTACAGAGCACGGTGCCGGCCGTTTGCAATGCAGGTTTATATCAGCCGTCACCTAGCAGAAAAGGGTACCAAAAATTGAGCCAGAAACAGCTCTTTCTTCGCAGTTGTGTGAAGTCCTGCGTCCTTTGCAGCGAGGGCTCCCGCCAGTCGCTTGGAGCGGGCAGATCAGTAGGATTTCTGCGAAGAACCAAGCTTGGGTACATGGATCATGCATCGGTCCCTGCTCACGAGGAGTGTTTGAGAGTATTAATATCACCGCTTGTCTGCTGCCTTTCAGGACTTGATCACTCAGGGCATGATCCAATCTCTGCTTAACATATTGCTATAGAAACGCGCTGACAGTGATATTAAAGCTATCAAACTTACGAGCAAATGCTTGACAGCACCATGTAAACTCTCCCAAAGCTGAAAAAATAAACTTTTGTCCTAAACATTTGGCAAAACTGGGCTGGCAGTTGGTGGAAGTCCTGGATGGATGCAGCCGCTGAACTTTACCCAGCCATAAGACACGTCTGACAGCAGAACTGCACAAACAGCTTCTTTTCACAGAGCTTGTTTGATTTCACCATCTCACAGAAAGTCTTGTCAGCTGGGAGGCCGAGGCAAGGAACAAGAGAAAATGAGAGCAGATTAACATTTTAAATAAACAAACATTGCACGTAACAGGCGGTGCAATTCGTTCCAGTGTTGGAAGAGAGAGAATTGAAAAGGAGTCGTTTTTTAAGGGCATCTTTCACGTGGCTTTAATGAAGGAATAAAGCAGCTTTGCAGCAAGTGGGAGAATTAGCCCCAAGACTAAACTATAACAAAATACAAACCCTTGGATGCGTTTGAGCAATAGGCAGATATCCAGCAGCTCTGCCAGGTAAGCCGCCTGCCCACTGCAGCCAGAGCCCAGCTTGCTGCAGCCGTGCCCCAGCAAGCCCAAGAGCTGCAGCGCTTTTGGCTTTACGTTGTGAAGGGAATCCCCCAAACCCCTGATTTTTGCTACCGGGGAAGCACTACGGTGCCAGCGGTTCTGCCACAACTACTTACCATTGGTGCAGGTTTCATTTGTTACACAGGAGCCGCCGAGGAGGCTGAAACCTTCTTTACACTTGAGGCAGTTTCCACTGGAGCCCTCGCAGGCTGAGCAGTGGTCATCGCACCTGGGGACAGAGACCCCGCCATGGTCTGAACCGGCACTGACACCCCAACCCCAGCCATCTGAAATGGGCTGTTGGCCAGAAAACGTCTGCCAGCACCGCAACGTCCAGATTGAACCAGAGGATGTGGAAAACAGCGAATCCGAGGCTTGAAATTTCCCAAAGCCCTGGGAAAAATGGGCTCGGTGGTGCCAGCTTGATGCTCAGTGACAGCTAGTGACATCCCAAAAGCACTCCTCTTGCCTGCTGGGAAGGCTCAGTGGGACACACACCTCTCCTCCCAGCAATCCCAGTTAGAAAAAGGGCTGCGAGGGAAATCTGTGCCTGTCCCACCCATTCGCTCAGGGAAAATAGCCCAGCTGCTGTGCCTCCCGCCCGGGGACGGTGGCTTCCCAAAATCCCTGGGAAGGGATGCTGGTCCCCTGTTCCTCCCTGCTGGATAGCCAGCGTGGGTGAGCGAAACCCTGGGCAGGCAGGCACTGTGCTGCGTGTTCCCAAGTCACCTTTAATCCTTCCCTTTCATGTTCACTTTAATGAGGCTGAATCCACTCCCACTCCCCACTTAAAGCGCAGAGTGCCGGCGAGTGGGAGCAAATTGCTGCCTCCCGGCATCTCCCAGTCTCCCGCACGCTGGGCCAAGGAGCGGGCGAACGCTCCTCCAACACAGCCGCGGGGCGAACGGAGCAGGTTTGATTGAAAGCTGGAATATTTGCCTAAACATCACCATTCCTCGTTCCTCCCACACCTCCTCCTCCAAAGAGCCTGGGGCCGGGGCTGAGCCCCTTCCACTGTAGCCCTAAGACATCTTGGCTGGCTGGCTCCGGCGGGGGAGCGTGCAGCTTCGCTGCTCTTAAATCTATAGGGCAGGGGCGTGTGGGGTCCAGCCCCACAGCTGCCCTGGCTCCCTCATCCCTATTTTAATTTCCCTAGTAAACAGCTCCAGCTGTGAGCTGTTTTCAGCATTATTATTTTTTTTATCATTGCTGCCAGCATTCCCCATCGGTCCCGGCTTTGCTCCGGTCACGATCGGGGAGGTAACGTACCTCTTGCAGACTTTGTTGGGCAGCCCGTGGCTGTCAGCGGCGTAGAAGCCTTCACGGCAGGCGGGGACGCAGTGCCAGTGGGGCGTGGGGGCCTCGGGGGCACAGGGTGCGCAGTCCTCCTCGCTCCGCCCTGTGGGGACAGGGGAGAGGACAGATGACGTGGGCGGTTTCGGAGACAGGAGCCACGTCGCACCAGTGTGGCCACAGCCCCGCGTAAGATGGGGGGCACCAGCTCGGCTCTGTCCAGCTCGTGCCCGGGAGCAAACAAGCTGCTTGTTGTGCCACCCAGGGTTCTGTATGGCTGCTTGGCTCCCACCCCCAAAAAATTAGCTCCCATCCCAAAAAAACCCAGCTCCCATCCCAAAAAACCCAGCCAGGACCCAGCGTCCTGCCCCTCTGCAGAGCCAAGAGCCAGCCCCAAGGACACACTGGGGACAGCACATCAAAATCCCCTGCGGGGCATCAGCCACTGCTCCCAAGCGTGCACCGGTTTGGCTTTCCCACCCCACGCAGAGTAACGTGTGGAAAAAGAGATGCTAAATTGGGCTGTGGAGGAGGTGGAGGAGGGAAGAGCTTGGGAGAGGAGCTGAGAAAGCAGAGGGCCCCACTCTGACGCCGGCGTGCTGCTGCTGGACGGCAAACCAGGGTGATGGAGGTGGTATTATTAGAGGCCTTCCACGCGCCGGGCTTGAGCAATGGTTATGCAGGAAAAGGAGATGAGAAAAGGCTTGAAAAATAATTGTGGTGAAGTACATTTACGCTGACTGGAATAAGAATTAGAAGGGAAGTAATTTTCTTAAGGGATTAAGAGCCTGTTCCCTTCCACGCTTGCCAACAAGATCAATAAATATTTTGGATTTAGTCTTAGGAAATTGCCCATGTATGATAGATGAGATTCACGCCACTGAACATGAATTGTCTAGAGATCATATTATCATCAGATCTATGATGATTTCGAGGGCAGACGCAAACATTAACAATGGAAAATAATTGGACTTTCAAGAAGCAAAAAAGGCAGGATTTAAAGGGAACGCCGAGCAACTTCGGGCAGGCGGGGGGAAGCCGGCAGCGGCCAGCCTGGCTGGGATAACGCGCCTCGGCTGCCTGACATTTTTATACGCTGCAAAGCCATCTTCCATCACTCCAAGAGGGTTTTACAGCCTCCCCCGCAACCTTATTAAACTAAAGCACCTGGCTTCAGAGGGATCGGGAAATAAAGAATGGCTCTAATAAAAATGTAAAAACTCCCTAAAAACCTTTCCAATATGAACATATTCCCAGCACCTCGCGGGCTGTGCTGGAGAGCTGGGATTGCTTCCCCTCCGGCACGCTCTGCCTTGGCTCGGGGTGGGTACGGTGGGCATCGGCTCTTGATGCACGAGGGTTTTGGGGTTTTGCATGGAGACGCTGCGGGGCGAAGGACGTACCTGTGCCGTCGGGGCAGGTCTCACACCGCCGGGGCTCCTGGCTGAGGTACATGGCAGGCTGGCACTCCGGCACGCAGCTCTCTCCTGCCAGGCTGTCGGGAAAGCAGAGAGGAGGTTTGCATCCGAAGCTCCAGGCTCTGGGGACTCAACACAGCCCATCCCCATCTCCGCATCCCCCAGTGTGCTGCAGCAGCCTCAGCCTGCAGCGCGGGAGGTGTCGAAAAGCCATCCAGTGCTTCAGGAGAAATTAAAATCCTGCCTGGACCAAAGGGACGGCTGCAGGTTGCTTAATTAAGTATCCAGGAGGAAATAAAATATTTTTTTCCTGTGGGCAGCCAGCCAGGCTCTCCCAAAGACCTTTTGCACCATGAGGCTCTCCGGAATAAAAGGAAATTGGTTCAGTGCCGCGGCTGGGCCGGTGCTGCTTCACTGTGGCAGGGATGATTTGAAGTCCCGGCTTAAAAGGATATCGGACAATAAAAAGCAAGCGCCGTGCGGATTATGTCTGACAAGCGCCTCCACTTTTGCTTTTCCAAGGGAGTAGATAATCTTTTGGCAGCAGCAATTTCCTTGTCTGAGAGAGCTCTGCTGCTACATCGTGTCTCTGGCCTGCTTACAGCCTCTAAGCGAGGCAAAGTGCTATGGGATCATAATTCCATGTGAGCTTGGGGATGGAAAACAGCTTCTCCCCAGTGCCGATGCTGCTCGCTGGCATGGCTGGGCTCTGCATCCCGCAGGAGCATCCAGCAGCAAGAGCGCCTGGTGCTCCTCGTGAGGTCGGGGCTGCCCCACCTGCACCTGCATTCCTGGAAAACCACTATCCTATACTAGCCCCACTCAACAGGTATATCAGATAAAATTTTCCTGCATGGATGAAGCTGAGGGAAGGGTTTTTGCACTTGGAGGGAGCATTTCAGCCTGCCTGGAGCAGTTCAGCCCAGTCCCAGCTCTGCCAGGTGAGCAAAACCAAGCACCCCTTTTGGCTGGGATGGCTCTGATGGAGTGACCTGAGAATCGGGAGGAAACATGTGCTTTGCAACGTGCAGTGTAAACGTTTTCATTGCTTTTTTCCCCCCATTTGAGATGCTGTGACGCCAGTAGCTGCTCTGGTCGCAGGTCACCAAATTTGGACAAGCACTTCTGAGCCCACAGCACTCACCCACCACCCTGGCAAGTGCTGGAGAAAAGGAAATTAAATTTACATCATGCTTTTCAGCTAGGAAGGGGACACGAAGCACTACCTTTAAATTCCCAGCTCCATGCTACAGCTGCAGTACCATGGAAGAAGGATCTTGGATCTTTAACTAATTCACTCTCTAATTTCCCATTGGTTCTCCCAAATTTAAACCACAGGTACCAATGCCGCAGGTATAAACTCCTCCCGTGCTGGTGTTTTACCTGAATCCATCTTTGCATGCAGTACATTTGTCTGCTTCGCCGACACATTTTTTACAGCTTTGATGACATTTCAGACAGCGTTTCTGACCTTTCAAAAAACAAAGCAAGGCAGGGAGAATAAAATCCGGACGGTCATTTCCAAGCAGCAGTGGGAGCCGCAAAGCCCCGCTGCACCCCAGCGCCAGCTCCCTGGGGCGGAGAGGCACGTCCTCCCGCAACGGGTCCCTGCTATTGCAGATGACCTTATCCGTCATTGCTTGCTAAGAAGAAATATGCTTTGCAAGCAGCTAGGATCATTAATTACAGTCTTCTAATTAAGAGCTGAGTTGAGCACCTCTGCTTTGCACCACCCTCTGAACACCCAGAGGTTTTCCTCCTCCCTTCACTGTGCAAAGTGGGTCCAGGGCGGGATTTCAAAGCCAGTACTCAAAAATCAATGTGTTTCCTCCACCCGTAGTACTTAAAATAGAAGCAACCCCTGCATATTCTCATGCTATGGCTTGCAAGTGATAAAAATCCTTACGTTCCTCGGTGTAAAACCCAGGTGGACACAGCACCACGCAGGTGCTCATCTCCTGGTGATGGTAGAGGCTCCGCTTGCACGCCGTGCACTGGGTCGGTCCCCTCCCGACGCAGCGCTCGCAGCCCTTGTAGCACCGGCGGCACCTCCGGGCACCTTTGTCACCGAAAAACCCCGCGGGGCACGAGCTCACACACATCCTGGGGGAAGAACCGAGAGCACCCCGGCTTTGGTGCCAACAGCCGGCCACCTCCTGGCAGTCAGGCACCCGCCGCCGTCCCCTCGCCCGCAGTGTTCAGGATGTCCCCCAGCCTTGGCAGTGATTTGGGCTCGTTTACTTCTTATTCTTAAGATTTAGGATGTCTTGAACGTTGTGGCTCTGTAATAAAGAGCCAGGGACTCTCTTGGCCAGCAACCCCCACTATGGGTAAACTTTCCCTGTGCCAGCCCAAGAGATTGAGGAGTGGAAACCCCAATTCCAGAAGTGATTTGGCACCTCAACTAGCTGTCCCTTGGGCATGGATGACCCCAGCCGGTGAAGCCAATGCTTCTTCCCCAACATGATTACATGACCAAGGTCCTCCAGGGCTCTCCAGCTCTGTGTTCCTCACCCCATCATAGGCTAGTCCAGGGCAGAGATCCCCATGCCTCCTCCTCCCTCCATTTTCTCTCTCCTATGCTTCTTTCTCTGTGCAAACATCTATCAATCATGCATGCTGCGGTGCGAGCCCTGGGGAAAGGCGCTGCCGCCACCCGGGAACCCCGCGGGGACCCCCTGCCACCCCTCACCTGCTGGTTTTCATGCTGCCCAGGCTGTAGTGGATGCAGTTCAAGCACTGGTCAGCGTTGGGGCCATCGCAGCCCTGGTCACCGCACTCAGGGTGGCAAGGACCTGAGGAGGGAAAGACCGGCTCAGCGCGGGGAGAGGCTGAGCATCCCCCAGGCCCTGCTGCCAGGATGCTCTGAGCACACCCTCCCTGGACCGACAGACGTGGGGAAGGGGCTGGGCACCCTCCACCTGTCTTATCCTATAACTGTTATCTTATAGATCTTGTATATCTTATCCTATCTATCCTATGGAGCTGCATGGCTCCAGGTGCTCACCTCCCTTCCAGCTCATCCTCCCCGGCACAAACCCCACCCGGCCATCCTCCAGCTGAACACCCTGGTGCAGGAGCAGCTTTGAAAGCGGGGCCAGACCCACTCCCCGGGGACTGGCAGGGATGCCCGCCCATACCCACGCCAGGGAGGAAGGTGGGCAGAGGAGCTTTTTTTACTCCTCAGACGGCTGCACCACCAATTTGTGGCGGGAACGCTGGGATGGGGCGTTTTGCTACCTTCTAATTTCGCCGTCCTGCTGCCCCGTGCTGGCCGCAGGCACTGCTCCTCCCCGCCCGCCTCGGCCCCGGGCAGGATCAGGCCTCGTGGCTCCCCCAGTTGGCATTTTCCCAGGTACTTTGGGGAGGATGACAAGGCAGCTCAGCCGGCGCTTACCCGCGTACTCCTCCTCCTCCTCCACCACCTCCACCTGGCTCTGCAGGAAGGCAGCTCTCGACGGCTCCATCTCCGATGCTGGCACCTCCAGCGTCCTCCCACGGGACTGGGGGCCGCCTAGCGTGGTGTAGGGGTGCTCGGCTGTCCCATAGAAGAGGAGGCTCCACTCCTTCAGCTTCCCTGTGGTGGCAGACGCAACATCACCCATCCCACTCCCCGTCCCTCTCCTCCCCAGGGGACCCGGCTTTGGGGGAAGCAGGAGAAGGATGGACCAGACCATCAGGGCGTCACCACTGGCATGGCAATGCAGAAGTAAACAACGAACACCCAGAAATGTTCATGAGCCCCTGAGCTCCCAGCCCGCAAGAATGCAGCTGTTTAAGGCACCTACAAGGGATTTTTTATTCTATAACTCATCTGAAAAACCACAGCATCACCATAGCCTTCATGCCCAACGTGCGGAGAGAACCGTTAATTTTAAAAGCTCCATAACGGAGGATTATTTCTGTCTGATAAAAACCGCCCGGCACACGCCAGATTATTTCTTGCTGCTGCTGTTCCAGCCACCTGCCTATCTGACACGTCAGAGGTCTGAGCTTGGTGTCCCTCGAAACACCGCGGGGGCCCCCAGAGGCTGCGGTGCACCCGGGGCTGGGGACCCCCCACAGCCTTACACCCACACCAGGGTCCTCCCCAACCCACGCTGCTTTGGGGAGGGCGTCCAAAAAATGCTGCTGCTTCTTTCCAGCACTGTTTTTCTTTCAATTCCCCACCAACACGAGTCACTTCACACCCATGGCACACTTGGCTTTAACTACCGATCCCTGCATTTCCAGGACGGGCTTAAAATTTCCAACACCCAAAGCCCTTGGCTCTCCGGAATGGCTGGGAGGACCCACCTGCTGCAAGCAAGCAGCGCCGGCGTGGAGCCCACGAAGGGGCGAGCTTGGGCGGCATCAGCCGGGGAAGAGCTCAGCTGCGCGCCTCCGCCGAAAGAATTAAATTTGCTTTAAATCTAAAATGTCCCGCGCAAGGAAAGCCTGGGCTGCATGGGGCTGATGCTGGGGATGCAGCGGTGCCAGCAACAGGACGCCCATAGTACTTAATGGGTATTAAATTAAACAATTTAATTGGTTTAATTTAATGGTCTTAAATTAACATTTAACACCTGTTTGTGCCGCGGGCTGGGAGCATTGTCCCTCTTTTTCCTCCTGCTTTGCCCTCTCTGCTTCAAACCCGGTGCAGACCTTTTGAGGGGGGTGACTTAACGCACTAATTTTCATTTCATTTTGTAAAGCCGAGCCCTGACGCTCGCGAGGGGCTCAGAAACACCCGCCACAAACCATAAATACAGCGGGAAAAGCAGCTCCGTGGGCGCTTCGCTGCTGCTCTCCGAGTTCAAAAGATTTCGGGTGAAGGCAGCAAACAGAAACACTTTCTGCGCAATGAACCCCCACGTGCGCCTCCTGACAGAAGGTTTCATGGGAGAGGTTTTTAATATACTCCTGGCTTCCTATCAATGAGCGTGTGGATTTTAACACCCCCACAACGCACGCCAGCCCCAGGCAGGATGCTTCATGCCCCGCTGCCACCAGCCGGCGAGGCAGCTGCCCCTTCCCGGCGGGGCCGGATCCCGCCAGCCTGGCTCCTTTGCCGGGAAGGGGTCAGGGAGCAGGCGGCCAAGCCGGGGAGGGGGGCACACAGCGGGGCTGGGGACAGGCAGGGGGCCAGGCTGAGCCCAGCCACCCCCTGCCAGCACGGTGGCAGCCCAGGGAGGATGTCTGTCCGTCTGCAGCCCGAGGGGCATTGTCCCCTTGCGCCATTGCACAACCAGCCCACAAGCCAGATGTCCCAGCAGCGAAGCAAAACAAACAAACAACAATTACAGCTCTTGGGTTTCCTCGTTTTGACTCATTACGGTTTAATTTTGGAAACCTGGCTCTTGGTTGCAGCGAGTTTGCTGCTGGGAGAAAACCCGCTCCCGGCTCAGCCAGATGAGCAGGGCTGAAGTTTTATTCCCATTTTTGAAAAATTTGGGCAATACAGTTTTGCTGAAGGCAATAAAACTCACAGCAAAAGTTACAGCCAAGTGAAGCAGCCTGCAAAAAGCTTTGGGGGTGAGGGGGACCGGCAGGCGCTGGGAGACACGGGTGCTGGGGGACCCTTACCTTGCACTGCGGGATTGCGCACTTGGGATGGCGTGTCGTGGATCTCCAGGGTCCACTCCCCTGCCGCCCGCTCCCCCCAGCAGTGGACGGTCATGAATTCCCAGCCCTTGAACCCCTCGTTGGAGTGGTCGAACACTCTGCAACGGTAATGCCGTGCATCAGGAAGCGTGACTTTGAATCTCTTATTTAATCGCAAAAGGTAAATAGGTAATTAAGGATTTTAGGGATCCTTGCATGCATCCACCCTTGCATGGAGCCGTCCTGCAGCTGAGACCTGAGCATGCCCTCCGCCTTCCCAAAAATCCTGAGCAAATTTGCAGCAACCCCCTAAACGAGGATGCTGCCTAGACGCGTGCTCTGGCCACTCTTACCTCCTGGCAAGGAGCTGTGACCTGGTCCCTGCCGGAGAGACGAGGCTGATCTGGAGGTCGCCCCGGCGCGGGTGCGAGATGCTGAGCCGCACCACGACGTGCTCCAGGTAGAGCACGTGCTGGTCGTGGTGCTCGGCACAGGCGCTGCTGAGGGTGCTGGCGCGCAGCACGTGGTCGGCCCTGATGTACCTGCGGGGGACGGGCAGAGCATTTCGCTGGGGACAGCAGCGGTCTCCAGTTCCCAGCAGCTTGGACACCCAGTTATATTTGAACTTGGTCTCCTACTGCTTCATGGCAAAAATTATCTCATCCTCCATTGCAATACAGTGTCCTAGCACAGGAATTTGCTGAATTGCTTGATGGTAACGAGATGGGTTTGAACTGCCTCTAAGATCTATGCCTTATGGGCTGCAAGGGCACTGCTTTATTATAATTATCAGTGCAGCGTTCCTGTTTGGGTTGTAATTAGTGTCTGTATCAGATAAATAGTTTCATGAACACACTTGGC